CATTCAGTCTGTGTCTGGTGGGTTGAATACTTTTCTTTTGTGCTTCTGAGTTGACCCTGAGGCATGGGGATTGAATTGTGTCTTATCTGCTGAGTACATTTTTGTAAAGCCACAGATTCTTCTGAAAATATGTACAAGTTGTCTTGTGTGAAATCCGTGTGCGATTTCACACAGTAATTACTGCAGTGTGCACATGTTTCATATTTACGATAAACCTCTTTTAAGGATTAAACTGTTCTGTTTTGAAAATAAATTAAACATTTCTATTGAAGTTTAGAAACAGGATTAGTTTTCTGTAACTCGTGTGTTAATAACAAATGCGGAAGACTGCTGTGGTTTGTTAAAGATAAGCAGACACTAGCACTAAGAAAAGGAAAGCTTGTACCCAATATATCAGAGGATTCGCATAGACATTGATTAATTCTGATCCAAACAATGTTATTCCATGTTCTTACATTTTTTTGGTAACATTATTATTGTTTAAATAATAATTAAAAAAGCAACAACACATGACTCCCATCTTGCACATCTGTGAATGTGTGCATGCTGTAGTGTAAACAGTTAGACACACACTGTGCAGGGTCAACTTAGCAGTGCAATATATACTGCACATCATTTTCATTATTTATTTATTTATTGTTTGTTCACAGCTTAGTTTTCACTTTGTTGTTGTTGTTGTCTCAGCTGTTCCTTATTGTTTAGTATAAAACTTTATACAATATATAATACAAGAGAATCTACTGCATGGTTGCACACAATCATTTGTGCAGACTAGAAGATTTGGTTGCATTTATTTTGTGTTTGTTTCTAACACTCAAAGATACTTTGGACATGGTACTAACAAATGTAGCTTCATTCTATGTTGTCCTGGTAAAACAACACTGCTAATCCATTGCCCTTTAACCATATATAAAATCTAACTTAACTCTTTGAGTCCCAAGGAACGCATCATACGTTCATACGTTCCCGCCTAGAGGCCCAATGAACGCAAGATGTGCCGATTTTACAAATCTTTTGATTACCCCTTGGGCCTCTGATGCTAAACCCCCTGGGACTCGAAGAGTTAAATTGCATTCCCTTTGTTTGACAATGTGTTCGCAGACAACTCTTATATTTCTCAGTTGTTTCAGCTTGGTCTGGTTACATTAATAATAATTCATTCTAGTCAGTATTGTCCTGGTCATGCTGTTTATAAAAAGATGAGCAATGAGGTGTTAGTATAGTGTCCAGACAAAATAGTGCTGGTTGGTGTACAGTGCCTTCGCTGGATTGCCTTAGTATTCGGTTGTTAGTGGTTTATTGCATCAGCCATTTCAGTGTTTGACCGATTTCATGAAGCTACAAACTACGTAGTCTTGTCTGCTTTCTTTGGGGAGCATTTCATAATGCAGAGATTTGTATTTGCATAAAGTTGTATCATTGTCGATAATTTTGAATTTGATTTTGTCATCTAAACTCAAACTTCGTCTCACATTGATGAAACGGTCAGCAGTTTTATATATGGCCATGTTTATGTACTTACATCTCCCCCAGACAACATTAATAACATTCAGTTTAACTTATCCTCAACCTGTCAATGATAGATCTTCATGTTATTTATTCTCGGCATAGTTAAAAAAAAAAACATTTTACTTTTTTTTATAAATGCGAATATGGAACAGCCAGTGGGTGTATGTTTTTTTAAAAAAAATAGTATTTTCTTAACACATCATGAACGAGTTAAAGTAATTATTAATGAGGTCCTTGTTCAGATTACATTTGATACAGAAGTAAGCATTTAATTTTCAAAAAAATATACCTCTACTCAAAATAATAATCTGGTAATCTTGACAGCATACTAAATACGTTTTTGAAAATCTTCAGTGAAAATAATGCAGTAAGCCAGGTTTGTTGAAATATTTGCTTTCAGATAGATTCATTGTCTTGTTTAAAATTGTTTTCTTTTAGCAACCTAGATGCGTCACAAGCGTTTTTTTTTTCTGTGTGTATCCTCCCTAACTGAAGGGTTTAAGTGGTTTGTTTATTAGGTTTCTTATAATTTTCACATTCATTAGTCCTTACATATCTCTGCCTCTAACCTGTTACTATTTGTTCATAATGCATTTCTTTTTCTTCAGTTTTCCCCTTATATTTATTTCACCAAAACTAAAATACTTTTTTTTTTGGTTTAGTTTCTTCACTGACATTTGTCCCCATTGTTGAAACAAAACTGTTGGTATATTGTATAATTAAACTAGGGAATTACACATGTGTATATATTTGTTTCATGTCTCCTTACATTTCTCGGATCTTTCATTACATGATCAGATCTGTAAGGAGGAACACATTGACAGTTTTCTATACTGTGCTGCTTGTTCATTTTTCTGCTAGAGAATGTTTGCAAGGGGGGTCTGTTCTAAAATATGAAGAGCTCTAAGTTGATGCCATGAAATGTAGTCACATTGTTGGTAGCTGTCATTGCTAGCATCAGAGATGTCGTTTATAATTATGTGTGTTTTTTGGGCAGGCACATTGTAGCTCAGCATTAGTGTAGGGAAAAGACAAAGACAGTGAGAACATATAAACCAAATAGCCCATCCAATCTTCCTTGGTGACATCACTAGCCAAGAAGTCATACACCTGTTAGAGGTAGCAATGAAGACAAAAATTGGGGTACAGGTAAAGATATAATAATACAAAAGGTAAAAGGAACTTTCATATCACTAGGAAATCTGTTAAAGTCAAAAAAGAAAGTTAGTTTTAGGGGAAACCTAAATAAATTCAAGCAGATCAAGAGCTGAGGAAGAAAAGATGCCACCATTGGATTGGACACACTGAGAAACTTGATTATAATATAATTAAACTATCTTTGTACAGTAATATAATTAAACTGTCTTTGTACAGTAATATAATTAAACTGTCTTTGTACAGTAATATAATTAAACTGTCTTTGTACAGTAATATAATTAAACTATCTTTGTACAGTAATATAATTAAACTGTCTTTGTACAGTAATATAATTAAACTGTCTTTGTACAGTAATATAATTAAACTGTCTTTGTACAGTAATATAATTAAACTGTCTTTGTACAGTAATATAATTAAACTGTCTTTGTACAATAATATAATTAAACTGTCTTTGTACAGTAATATAATTAAACTGTCTTTGTACAGAAAGCCTTGAAGCAAAAGAAATGGAAGAATACCTCAAACACTCCAGAAATAATTAAATACAAATAAATTTAGAAATACACTTTTAAAAGGGATGCAGAAGTGCCAAACCACACTGGTAGTGCACCAGGACTAGGTCAGTACCTGTCTGCACCTCTTTGCGGTCTCGTAGTAACCGAGGACCTGGTCACTATAAATAGGATCAGTAATTCCTTCAAAGTCGGACACGTGAGGAACCAACAGTCTGCACATAAATCAGCCACTGTAAAATGGATATGCATGCAAATCTCAAGTCCTGGGGGCCAGAACAAAGTCCAGAAGTGGAGGAACAACAAGGACTTTTTGGTATAGTTAGAGCCGGTCAGTACAAAGAGCAAGAAGAAATATTTATAATTTTTGTGTGAAAGAAAGCTAGTATCACTGGTCATCATGCTTTAATCCTCAATCCTAGACCAGAGTTAAAACCCCTTTGGCATTATCCATTACCTAGGACAGGTGTGTAGTTTTGCTTAGTGCTGCAATATTTGGCATTGTTCACCAGGTATTCTCAGAGAGGTGAAACATTTGTGATGTTCAGAAATGGTCTGGCATACTCTGAATGTGATTATCATAGATTAATAGGGGTAGAGCATCCAACTCCACCTCGCCCTGTTTTTTAAAACCATTCCACAACTTTCATTTTAACCCCACCCCCCATTACCCAGTTAAGAAAGGTTTCCTGTTCACTGCTTGATGCTTAAGGGGTCATTCTGCCGTCCGGTCTAGTGTATTTTTTTGTGTGGCTGGCACCTTTCTGTGTATTGCCAGTTACTCTAGAAATACTCTTCTGAGACTTCTTCACTGGTCAAATGTCTTGATTGTAGACTGGTTTTTGATAAAGTTTGTCACCTGTAGAATACCTCTCATCTTGATTTAGACTGGTTTTTTTATAAAGTTTGTCACCGTTCATATGATTAAATCATGGAAGCCATTGCTACATCTTAGACTGGTAGCTAGCTAACATAAAGCATCTCTACTTTTCTTACTGCACTTACTGTCACCTGTGTTTGTCTAGCTGTTAAAACACACACACACACATACACACCAGCACTACTGCATACAGTTGCTGTAGCTTGCTTTTATTTACTTATTTGATGATACTGTTTGTTTTGGATTCATCTTTGTATACAGTTAACAGTAACAGGGTTGATTTAAACCTACTGTACATCTCTTTTACTGCCATTAACTTCATTGCTTCTTCAGCCCCATTTACAATAAAAGTTTATTATTTTAAACTGCTTTAAAACAAAAGACTGGGAAAGCATGAGATAGGTACACAGCTTACAGCTGGGATTTTGTCCTTGAATTAAAGTCTATGCACAGAAGCAAATCAAGGCTTTCTCAGATGGTAAACTGCAGGAGTCCATCTAGAAAGTTCAGGTTATATATAATAGAACTTCTTAGTTGGTTCTCCTTGATTATTTACATGTGTGGCACACGGTCTGAAGCACAGTAATTGTTGCTAGGGACGGTCAACATGTGGTATAGCATGATGTTTCTTTTGGTTTGTTCAGTTGATAATGCTTAACTTCACAGCCTCAAAAAAGGGGCAGGGATTAGTTCCCAAATTAAAGTCATCATTGACTGTTAGAAATGAGATTTCCAACTGACATTTATGTTGTGTGTTGATTACATTGCAGATTTGATGTATTTGACCTTTCTGTGGTTGGTATTGTGATGACAAATAATACAAATGGATACTGTTTAGCTTGTGCTTGTGACCCTGTAATTAGTCTCTGAGCAGTTTTTTTTTTTTTTTAGATTCAGCATTTCTGGTGTTGTTTCATAGTTGCTGTTTTCCTACCTTACAGGAAAACCTGCAGGAGGACCTGTGTCACAAGTGGCCCACAAGAAAGATGTTTCTTCAGCCAAACCCAATGCTGGGAATGAAAAACCTGACACATCTACTGTAAGTCACTGATTTTTGTAGGGACATTTTGTAGAATTATGTGATTTTGATGAATGAATGAGGGTTTACATCCTAACATCACAAGCATCATCCATGGTGGCAACAGGAGATAATATTGTCTATATAAACAGTATAGCATTAGTGACATGCTGCTCCTATCAGTGGCTAGTTGGTCTATATAAACATTATAGCATTAGTGACATGTTGCACCTATCAGTGGCTAGTTGGTCCATATAAACAGTATGGAATTAGGGATATGTTGCACCTATCAGTGGCTAGTTGGTCTATATAAACAGTATAGCATTAGTGATATGTTGCACCTATCAGTGGCTAGTTGGTCCGTATAAACAGTATGACATTAGTGACATGTTGCACCTATCAGTGGCTAGTTGGTTTATATAAACAGTATGACATTAGTGACATGTTGCACCTATCAGTGGCTAGTTGGTCTATATAAACAGTATAGCATTAGTGACATGCACCTATCAGTGGCTAGTTGGTCCATATAAACAGTATAGCATTAGTGACATGCACCTATCAGTGGCTAGTTGGTCCATATAAACAGTATGACATTAGTGACATGTTGCACCTATCAGTGGCTAGTTGGTCTATATAAACAGTATAGCATTAGTGACATGTTGCACCTATCAGTGGCTAGTTGGTCCATATAAACAGTATGGAATTAGTGACATGTAGCACCTATCAGTGGCTAGTTGGTCTATATAAACAGTATGGAATTAGTGACATGTAGCACCTATCAGTGGCTAGTTGGTCCATATAAACAGTATGGCATTAGTGACATGTACCTAGGATGTCCTGAGGCATGAAAAGGAGTCCTGAATTTTAACAAACAAAAACTTGTTGTTTTTAAGCCTAGCATGTCCACCACTGCATGACACAACAGTGTGTAATCACACACAGCATCAGCTGGTGAAATCTGACTTCAACACCCCCCCCCCCCCCCCCCCCCCCCACCTTTTCAATTTTCTTGCTTGGATGCAAGGTGGCAGGGAAGGAAACTAAACACTCCAGTTTATGTTGCCAGGATCTAGTAAATATGAAGCAGTTTCACCTAACACTCTGGTATCACCGATTGATTCCTTTTGTTGTCAGCATTCGGTTTTAAAATATAATACTTTTTTTTTTATAGACTGAAATTGTTCAAGGCATTATTACTTTACTCCATACGCAGCAGACAATATCTTATTTTTGTTTCCTTGTCTAGGCTAGCGCTTCACATAGCTGCAGTTCTTCAAAAGATACACCAGTCCAGCGCAATAGCACTACAGCCACCGTGACCACAGGCAGTGGTAGTACACCTCAGAATGTAGCTGAGAGTGACAGCAAGCAGACAGTTAGCAAGATCACAACACTACCAGTGACATCATCTTCAAAGGAAGTAATAACGAAAGCAAAATTGCAACAGGCGAAACCTACTAATACAGTGAAGGTTTGTGGTTTTGTTTTGTGGAAGGAGGGAACTTAATATTGCATAGTTATCCTTGAAACTGATATCATTCCTTCAGCAGTAGCAGTAGTGTTCAGTGTTGTTTGTTGTCACATGTTACGATGATTTGGTCTTCTTGTGTCTGGAAGAAAAGTCTGACAACTCCAGTATGGTTACAGTTGTGTTGTTGGCTCTCTATTTCATCCTTTAGGGGGTTTGAGGAGGCCCTTTGGACTAGCAACATCCAGATAAGTCTTCTGTTGCTATATTCCTGCCTCAACAACCTCAACACTTGACCAGTACCCTGCTGCTGCTGCTATGGTCCTTGATAGTGTAGATCAACTAGATCTAGGAGAAAGTTAACATAAACTGGACTCAAAGAGAGAAGTAGAAAAACCTCTGAGAAAAATTGTTTATTATAAATCATTTTAAAGTATAGAGTAAGTAGGAAGATGGAGGCTATACTATGCATAAATTACACGCAGGAAGAAATACAACAGCAACATTAAAAAAAACTGTTGCATGATAAAAAAAAACCTAAAATCCATAATAAAGAAAGTTCACTAAGTCAGTGAATATGAAGTATCAACATCACGAGTCAGATGCTTTCAGATTGACTTGCTAACTGTCCTTCTAGCACAGATTTTAGCAGGGTATTTTTCACAATTTTGCTTGTGCTTTTTGAGCTTGTTTCAGTTACTTTGGGCTGAATGCATTTGTTTACTAGCTTGCAACAGTTACCATGTTTGTTAGCGGGCCTAAATCTCTGTCCATCTCCCTACCCGCCCCCTCACAAATTTGTCCTACCTGTCCCTCACTCTCTATTTGTCACTGCCTTCCTCTCTCTTTGTATTTGCCACTCTCCCTCACTCCATCTGTCTGTCTGTCTCGCTCCCTCTCTTTCTATACCTTCATTTGGCGTAAAAGGTTATGTGTTGCCCAGTGCAGAACATTTCGTGTTCACCACTCCCCCCTCCCCTACATACATATTAAATATATGTGTAATTTAAAAAACACATTTGCCATCCCCCCACCCCGCCCAACAGCCACCTTCTTCCCTCTATATCTCATCTTATTTCTTTCTCCTTTCTTTCTATCCCTGTCTCAGTCCCAACTTTCTTTCCTTAATCTTTATTCTCTCTCTCTCTCTCTCTCTCTCTCTCTCTCTCTCTCTCTCACAGTTCGCACCTCCTCTGTCCCCCCTTTCTATTTCAGCCTTCTTCACCACCTTCGACCAACTCCTCTCCCCTCTCCTTTGAACTTTCTGTAATTGAAAAATCAGAAATGAAATAAAGTCCACTGGTACCCTGACCTATTTTCTTGCTTTGTGGGTTGGGTTCCTTTATCTCTCCACCTTCTCCTGTGTGTCTACATCTCTTTCTGCTTGCATCTCCCTTTTCTTTTCCTCTGTCTCACTTCTTCCAACTCTTGTCATATTTTCCTTCTTCCATATCTCTGTTTCTTTTCCTTCTTCCTTCTCTCTTCATCTGCCCATCTCTGTATCTGCATTCCCTCTTTCTGTATTTGTCTCCCCCTTCTCCCTCATCATGTCTCCATCCCTCCCTCTTTTTGAAATCTGTTTTCCTTCTTTCCTTGTCTATCTTTCCTTCTTTCCTCTGTCTTCATCTATACATCTTTACACTGTCTCTCCCAGGTTGATGTACAAATGTGTGGAAACAAGTAAAAGTATAAGAAAACATTTGTTTTATTTGCCTTCGGCTAAACTAAACACAGAATCTCAAACTCAATGCAGTAACATCCGAGTGACGTTTTAAATTTCATTCATCCATAGTTGTACATATTTAGCAGCCTTTCAAGTGGTTTGAAACACAAAACTGAGTTCTGCTTTCTTTTTCAAGAAGATTAAACTTGTCATTGTTGCCACGCTGTTCACATGTGGTGAAGTACATCATGGCATCTGTTTAGTCATGCTACTGTATACATGCAAAACCATTATTTTTTTCATAGGCACCTTTCCATCTTTCCAGAGGATAGTGTTATATTGTGCTATGGGGAGGCATACTAATCAGCCCTTGGCAGTGGCGAGAGTGACTAGCAAGTCCCCTGCATGTTAAGAAAAAGGCTGTAGTACAAAGCCTGAGCAGTATTGTAGACCATGTGTTACCCACTTGGCCTACCTTGTTTGCTTCAAAGTAAAGGTAACACTAATACATTTGGAACAAAGCACGCTGCAGAAGAGCAGTGCCCTGTCTATCTATAGATTTCCTCCCAGACCAGCTGCCAGCGCTAGTCTGCTCTGTAATAACATGAAGTTTTCAGTTTGCATTTCTTCTTTCTAGGCTGAGGATAATGAAGATGTCTTTAAACTGACACAAAGAGAATTGATTGCCCACATCAAAAAGAGAAAATCCGCATACTTTGGTAATTTGATGAGAAGGAGTAAAGTGGAGTACATGCTGACAATAGAAAAGCTAGAGGGGAAGAGAGACAGAGAAAAAAGATGCTGGAAGGTTTGACATCATGGCATGGAGAGTCATCTATATCAGAATTAATTGAAAGTACATGAGACAGAAGGTTGTGGATAGACATGACTACCAGTGCCACACAGCATGGACTTTCAGAAGTAATCTGACATATTTACCGTGGTGTTGGGTGTTCCAGGGTTGAATAAGGATGCAAACATATCAATTATTACTATATTAGTGTTGCTAATGTACTTATGGAATGTTACAAAATCATAGTAGGACACAAGTGCCAAGGACAAGGATCCTTTCACATCATTGGCACATCAGCCTAAACTCATATATTTTGTATCCCATTGGGTGGTTTGGTCACTGCTGGGACTACTGGCTTTTTCCAGAATATTTTGTGGTACTCATTTTAGCTGGGTTGTTGTGAGAACCTGGGTCAGTTATCAGAATACACCTGGATTCAGATGAAACTCTGGAGTCATAATATAACCTGCTAGTAGTGGAAGCGAGCTGCCATGGTGTAGCAGCTAGACTCTGACTTGAGGATTTGAAGGTCATGGGTTCAGATCCCCATGGTACTTGATTTGTTGTTCAAACGTGACCTTGGCTTCCAGGTTGACCTCATGTTAAACGGGCACCGTTATAACTACGAAAAAGATTTTCTGAAACACTTGAACAGAACAGACCAAGTCACCGTTTTTCGCTTACGCACTGGACACTGCAGACTCAATAAACACTCACATAAATTAGGTATGAGCCAAACAGCTCTATGCCAGTGCCTTTGTGCTGAACAGACTCCAGAACATGTCCTGCAAGACTGTCCTCTCCTGGCGGAGCTGCGGAGCGACATATGGCAACACCCAGTAGAACTGACAACTAAGCTTTGGGGAAACCTAAGAGACCTTGAAAAGATATCCCAGTTTATGACCCACAGTGGATTATGCGCATGACCAGAGATCGCTGAAGAAGAAGAAGAAACGGGTACCAAGTAAAGTCCTGCCAGCCAGATATTTACATCTGCCACCAAGGGCCTGTTGGTCTTATCAAAAATATGGCTACAGCCTCATATGCCCAATGTGCCACTGGCATGTAAAGAGATTTTTACTTAGTTAGTGGTAGTTTAAAATTGATATTGTGCATCATTTATTCTGTAGGTCTCAGCGCGACCTGAGCCCAGAATTACAATCAAAGCACCAACCAGCACTTTGAAGATGACCACACGTGTCTCAACCAGGTCTGAAACTTCAAAGCTGAATGCATCAGTTAGTACTGTCGGTCCTGCAAAAGCCAGTGAAGGTGCTAACAAGAATTCTCTAAAGGTATAGTCTCACCGCTGATACAGTTTTTGCTATTTGAATATATTTGAAGGCACAACTTTTACGAGTTGTCTGTCTGCATGTTATAGATTTCATGGTCATTTTTATTTTGCTTGACTAAAAACATAGTGGTCTGGTTTCAGTTCTCAACATTAGATGCATTTCTTTTCACAGATACAGACAGCTCTAGGAGCCTTGTTGATGTGGCAGCTAAATGCTGCCCTACCAGCTTAAAGGTCATGGGTTTAAATCTGCATTGAATGCATTTTTTTCTCCACAGAAAATACCTTGGCTCGCAGGTTAGGTTAACCCAGCCTGAAATAGGCATCAGGTTAAATCTTGGGAATTATAGACAGCCGATGTGATGTTGACTACATCATAGGAATTACATGCAGCCCGTGTGATGTTGACCACATCATGGTAATTACAGGCAACCGGTGTGATGTTGGCCACATCATGGTAATTACAGGCGACCGGTGTGATGTTGACCACATCATGGGAATTACAGGCAGCCCATGTGATGTTGACCACATCATGGGAACTACAGGCAGCCAATGTGATGTTGACCACTTCATGGGAATTACAGGCGGCCGGTGTGACGTTGACCACTTCATGGGAATTACAGGCGCCGGTGTGATGTTGACCACTTCATGGGAATTACAGGCGCCGGTGTGATGTTGACCACTTCATGGGAATTACAGGCGGCTGGTGTGATGTTGACCACTTCATGGGAATTACAGGAGGCCGGTGTGATGTTGACCACATCATGGGAATTACAGGCGGCCGGTGTGATGTTGACCACATCATGGGAATTACAGGCGGCCGGTGTGATGTTGACCACATCATGGGAATTACAGGAGGCCGGTGTGATGTTGACCACAGCATGGGAATTACAGGAGGCCGGTGTGATGTTGACCACAGCATGGGAATTACAGGCGGCCAGTGTAATGTTGACCACATCATGGGAATTACAGGCAACCGGTGTGATGTTGACCACAGCATGGGAATTACAGGCAACCGGTGTGATGTTGACCACTTCATGGGAATTACAGGCGGCCGGTGTGATGTTGACCACATCATGGGAATTACAGGAGGCCGGTGTGATGTTGACCACAGCATGGGAATTACAGGCGGCCAGTGTAATGTTGACCACATCATGGGAATTACATGCAGCCCGTGTGATGTTGACCACCTCATGGGAATTACAGACAGCCGGTGTGATGTTGACCACATCATGGGAATTACAGGCGCCGGTGTGATGTTGACCACTTCATGGGAATTACAGGCGGCTGGTGTGATGTTGACCACTTCATGGGAATTACAGGCAGCCAGTGTGTTGTTGACCACCTCATGGGAATTACAGGTGGCCGGTGTGATGTTGACCACATAATGGGAATTACAGGCGGCCAGTGTGATGTTGACCACATCATCCCTATAGGGCCTATTAGTCTGTCAAAGTATGAGATATCTATCTAGCCTGATGCACTGGTGCCATGATAAATGGATGGTTTGTGCCTTTACTTGGTTTGTATTTTACAGACAGCTCTGTAGTTTAGTTTTATGAAATGGAAACCTGATAGTTATCAGATATTCTGAGAAAAGAACTCTGCATCTGAGACTTAGGTATTGCAAACACACTTCGTAATGCTGGGGTGCCGAGTTCGATCCTAGCTGCAGATGGTTTGGCAGCAAAACGTCTTTCGTTGGCTACGACAGTGTAGTGAGAGCTGACTGTTCAGTTAGCAGTGGCAAACTACTGAACCTAATATTTGCCTAGATATACCAGGAAGAGGCAGTCATCATTTTCTGGTCATGTTATGAGAAGAGGGAAAATGGAACATGTTGTGACCACTGGAAAGATCCGTGGAAAGAGAGACAGAGAAAGACAGTGTGAGAAGATTCTTGACAGACTTTTGTCATGGAATGGAGGGGTGTCAGTATATGAACTGATACACACAGTTGCGTATCGTATGTGGAGAGGCATGATCGCCCACGCCACTCAGCAAGGCACTTGATGATGATGATACCACAACAGCCAGAAAATGCTATGGTTGGTTCTGCAACGTCCTGTAAAGGCTACTCAACTAGTTTTGTTTATAAAGAAATATGACAAGGAAAGGAAATGGGTTACCTGGCCTCATTATTTAGCAGCTGAGAATTGTGGAAGAGCTGACACTCCTGTGTGTGTGTGTGTGGCTGTAATACCTGCCAGCTTGTCATATTTATCATATATAATTTTTATTATTTATTAAGTTGTGTTTGTTTTTTATTGCGAATCAGACTTAAACTGCAATAATGGTGCAGCATTACTGTACTTATTCCAAATGAATTATACCAATTGACTTGTAATTATATATTTGTGCATAATTCAGTTCTTTGATATTACCGTTACTCTGTTCTGTCCACTATTCAAGCTGAGCATAATTTTTTATATTCTTAAACTAGGTATGTCTTCCATCTATTTGTGCTTCCTTTTGAAGCATTGCAGTAAAGCTGTTAAAGCGGTGCTGTAAAGATAATGTCTTCAGCATAAAGTTACTAGTCTAAGGACTACCTACCATGATCCTTCCCATCTTTCAGCAACGCTTGTCAAATTAGTACAACTAACATTGGCCACACATAATGAATGGAGCACACAAATGAAGCCTTTTAGCTTACCTAGATAACATTATCAGTATTGTTTACATTGCTTAAATACACACAATGCATTTGTTTGTTATCAGGGTGAGAGCAAACCCAACTTAACACAGCCACACAATGACAAGACAGTTGAGAAGCAGCTGACTTCTCCTGTGACAAAGACGCCTGTAAAGACTAACAGTCCTGAACAGAGTCAGCCAGTTGCATTGACTGGCCTAGGAGGTGAAACAAGCAGTAACCTAGCAGTCATACCCCTGCCTTGCAAGGTATTTATTGATTTCTCTTTGTGACTAGCTTAAGAAAGTTAAAGTTTCACCATTTATTCCCACAGCGCAAAGTATTTTTCATTGTGACTGGATTATAAAATCAATGTTTCATCATTTACTCCCCCCTACACAATTTATTTCTAATTGTGACCCATCCTCCACACACACAATTTATTTCTAATTGCAACTAGCTTAAGGAAGTTAAATAATATTCCATTATTTATTCTCACCACACAAAATATTTCTCATTGTGACTGGCTTAGGACATTAACTCGAGTCCCAAGGAAAACATTACGCGCTAATTAGTAACACCACAGTGGCCCAATTGGCGCGTGATAAGTGGTTTTTAATTTACCACTGACTATTGTCAAAATTTCAACTTCCTGGCCAGTTCTTTGTGTTTGATATCAGACATGCTGACCGTTGTGTTTGATATTAGGCGTGCTGACCATTTCGTTTGATATCAGGCGTGCTGACCGTTGCGTTTGATATCAGGCGTGCTGACCGTTGTGTTTGATATCAGGCGTGCTGACCGTTGTGTTTGATATCAGGTGTGCTGACCGTTGTGTTTGATATTAGGCGTGCTGACCATTTCATTTGATATCAGGCGTTCTGGCCCTTGTGTTTGATATCAGGCGTGCTGACCATCAGACTTATTTGGAAACGTGGCTAAAAGCCTTGCGAGGTTTACAGAGTTACTAAGTGTGTGTATGCAAACAATACGGCTGCCAAGCAGTATTCTACATGCATTGGCTTGATTTGTGGCTTTAGAAGCCTCATAGATTTAAATAAAGCACATGTTCATTAGATTTATCCGAAGTTAGAAAGATAATGTTGCGAAGTAGACGTGTTTCAGTCATTTATAGAGTCAAACTTTGATGAGGGGTAGCTCTAGTATGTACCTCACGCGAAAGGTACAACAATAGCAAAGTCAGCTGGCACAAATAGTAGTGAAAAGAAGATTTTTGTTAGTGTCAGTTAGTTTTAGTGCTACCTTATTATTTAGGAACATAGCTACAAAATTACAGGCAGATTGAGTGTTATATAAACTTAGTTTTTTTCTGTGAAGATACTGTTTTTTGGGGAAGTCAGTTTTCTTTACCAATTAATGGTGCTTTGTTATGATGCTTTAAAAGATACTCTGGAACAAGATATAATGTACAGATTGAGTTTATATTTTACTTTTACATTAAAAACTGATTCATGTTCATTTGTGATTCATTGTAGATATATTTTAACGAGTTTAATTCAGCGCCATGGTTGTAAGTGGAAAAATCATATCATTTTACTAATTTCTGTTAACATACCATCTGTTTATTTACCAATATTGAACTGTTAACGCAATTATTTGTTTTAGCATTCTATTATTATTCCCCAACAATACCTGGTAAAGTTGATGTATTTAATATGTATTTGCTGCACGGCTGCTGAATTTGTATTGTATGGTTTAATGAGTTGCACTTGTGAAATTAAAAAAACTGCATTACCATCCCTTGTACCTCTTATGCTAAACCCCCTGGTACTCAAAGAGTTAAATAATGTTTCATCATTTGCTCCCACCACACAGGGTATTTCTGGGTTAGAGCTGACTTAGGAAGTGAAATAATGTTTCATCATCTGCTCCCACCACACAGGGTATTTCTGGGTTAGAGCTGACTTAGGAAGTGAAATAATGTTTCATCATTTGCTCCCACCACACAGGGTATTTCTGGGTTAGAGCTGACTTAGGAAGTGAAATAATGTTTCATCATCTGCTCCCACCACACAGGGTATTTCTGGGTTAGAGCTGACTTAGGAAGTGAAATAATGTTTCATCATTTGCTCCCACCACACAGGGTATTTCTGGGTTAGAGCTGACTTAGGAAGTGAAATAATGTTTCATCATCTGCTCCCACCACACAGGGTATTTCTGGGTTAGAGCTGACTTAGGAAGTGAAATAATGTTTCATCATTTGCTCCCACCACACAGGGTATTTCTGGGTTAGAGCTGACTTAGGAAGTGAAATAATGTTTCATCATTTGCTCCCACCACACAGGGTATTTCTGGGTTAGAGCTGACTTAGGAAGTGAAATAATGTTTCATCATCTGCTCCCACCACACAGGGTATTTCTGGGTTAGAGCTGACTTAAAAAGTGAAATAATGTTTCATCATCTGCTCCCACCACACAGGGTATTTCTGGGTTAGAGCTGACTTAGGAGGTCAAATAATTAATGGGAATAGAGTCTGGATGCCTCTTGTCAGCACACAAATGTATCCATGCTTCAGGAGATCGCATGGGGCGAAGGAACCTATGCCATTTTGCATGGTGCGAATAAACCTATACCATTTAACAATGGCTACTGTCATTCCGTGTCGATGTAGAAGCTCTTTAATGCCATCAATCCATCTTCTCCTAGGACGGCCTCTTGCTGTCACTTCAGATACTTTCCTGTGTAGCTCCTGCATTGGTAGTTGTTCTGGTTGCATTCTTACTAAGTGTCCAAACTATTTGATCTTCTCTTTCTCAATGAATTTGCTGCATGTTGTTGTTCTTACAGTCTGTAATATAATTTCTAACTTTGTCTCGGATAGTCAAGTTAGCCACTTTTCTCAGGCATCTAATTTCACAGGTGTTAATTTTATGTACGTTAGTGTTTGATAATGTCCAAGTCTGGCACTGGTAGCACAGTGTTGATATCAATATGCTGTTTATAATCTGTTTCTTGGCACTCATACTTATGTTTAGATATGTTAATAATTATGTTAGTTGGTATATAAGTGCACTGGCACATTAACAAGTCATTTGATGCAATTTGTGATGTTCTAATAAATTTGAAGGACACATGTTAAAAACTAAACAAGGACTCTCTGGACACCATTTTTGTCATATTTGAATTTGTGGCTTCAACAAACATACATGATAAGTTTAGGATACTGTGATCAAGGTATTGGCAAGAGAAGATATGAACCAGTCATCATCTGTTACATGCCCTTTATTGGCAGACCTAAAACATCAACTACAAAAGCTAAACACTGCCTTCAAATGAAGCATAGCTCAGAACATGCAGGTGACTCCCACTGCAAGAATGGAAAAAAGGAAACCCTTGACTAAAAGCAGGTGACTTCCACTGCAAGAATGCAAAAAGGGAAACCCTTGACTACAAGCAGGTGACTTCCACTGCAAGAATGGAAAAAAGGAAACCCTTGACTACAAGCAGGTGACTTCCACTGCAAGAATGGAAAAAAGGAAACCCTTGACTAAAAGCAGGTGACTTCCACTGCAAGAATGGAAAAAGGGAAACCCTTGACTAAAAGCAGGTGACTTCCACTGCAAGAATGGAAAATGGGAAACCCTTGACTACAAGCAGGTGACTTCCACTGCAAGAATGGAAAAAGGGAAACCCTTGACTACAAGCAGGTGACTTCCACTGCAAGAATGGAAAAAGGGAAACCCTTGACTAAAAGCAGGTGACTTCCACTGCAAGAATGGAAAAAAGGGAAACCCTTGACTACAAGCAGGTGACTTCCACTGCAAGAATGGAAAAAAGGAAACCCTTGACTACAAGCAGGTGACTTCCACTGCAAAAATGGAAAATGGGAAACCCTTGACTACAAGCAGGTGACTTCCACTGCAAGAATGGAAAATGGGAAACCCTTGACTACAAGCAGGTGACTTCCACTGCAAGAATGGAAAATGGGAAACCCTTGACTACAAGCAGGTGACTTCCACTGCAAGAATGGAAAAAGGGAAACCCTTGACTACAAGCAGGTGACTTCCACTGCAAGAATGGAAAATGGGAAACCCTTGACTACAAGCAGGTGACTTCCACTGCAAGAATGGAAAAAGGGAAACCCTTGACTACAAGCAGGTGACTTCCACAGCAAGAATGGAAAATGGGAAACCCTTGACTACAAGCAGGTGACTTCCACTGCAAGAATGGAAAATGGGAAACCCTTGATCTGAGAATAAAAACAGATATTTTGTTGACTGTGTCATTGCTGCATAAACCGCGTTTGGGAAACACATTAAATCGGCACAAGTTAGTCTGTCCAAGCTAACTGTGAGATCAACATTGTTGTGTCATTTGTGTTGTCATTCAACTCTCAGACTAGTTGCTTTATTTATGAATTTGTGTGCATTTAGCCTGGAATTTTTCGCATACAGAACCGTCCTAACAAAGTAAATGCAACTTGTCCAGTTTTATTCTCGACTCAACAGCCAGTTCGTATCATTAGAAATTTTGTTTTCTAATCTGACAGCTGGAAGTGTCAGAGATCAAGATGCCACCGCCGATAAAGACAGAAGATGTGCCTCTACCTCCAGGAAGTCCTAAAGTTTTGGCAACTGACAGTCGAATGGAGGATAGTGTAAGTAGAATGTTCAAACTCTTAGTTATAGAAGTTATCAGGTTGATAATATTTTGTTCCGTTGTTTATCCCTTGATGGGCATTCAGGCTGTTTTGCCTTAAACTGGAGTAAAATCAATTCTCTCAATGAAAACAAAAATTGTGGATTTGGACACAGCTGTTGAAACAGAATTTGTGTGTGTAAGCATCATCATAGAGAATAACTAGTAAGTAGAGTAGACAAATCCAGCATACTGGAGGGTCTACACTGACCACTAGTAAGTAGAGTAGACAAATCCAGCATACCGGAGGGTCTACACTGACCACTAGTAAGTAGAGTAGACATATCCAGCATACTGGAGGGTCTACACTGACTACTAGTAAGTAGATTAGACATATCCAGCATACTGGAGGGTCTACACTGACCACTAGTAAGTAGAGTAGACAAATCCAGCATACCTGAGAGTCTACACTGACCACTAGTAAGTAGAGTAGACATATCCAGCATACTGGAGGGTCTACACTGACCACTAGTAAGTAGAGTAGACAAATCCAGCATACTGGAGGGTCTACACTGACCACTAGTAAGTAGACATATCCAGCATACTTGAGAGTCTACACTGACCACTAGTAAGTAGAGTAGACATATCCAGCATACCTGAGAGTCTACACTGACCACTAGTAAGTAGAGTAGACATATCCAGCATACTGGAGAGTCAACACTGACCACTAGTAAGTAGAGTAGACAAATCCAGCATACTTGAGAGTCTACACTGACCACTAGTAAGTAGAGTAGACAAATCCAGCATACTGGAGGGTCTACACTGACCACTAGTAAGTAGAGTAGAGTAGACAAATCCAGCATACTTGAGAGTCTACACTGACCACTAGTAAGTAGAGTAGACAAATCCAGCATACTTGAGGGTCTACACTGACCACTAGTAAGTAGAGTAGACATATCCAGCATACTGGAGGGTTACACTGACCACTAGTAAGTAGAGTAGACATATCCAGCATACCGGAGGGTCTACACTGACCACTAGTAAGTAGAGTAGACATATCCAGCATACTGGAGGGTCTACACTGACCACTAGTAAGTAGAGTAGACAAATCCAGCATACTTGAGAGTCTACACTGACCACTAGTAAGTAGAGTAGACAAATCCAGCATACTGGAGGGTCTACACTGACCACTAGTAAGTAGAGTAGACAAATCCAGCATACTTGAGAGTCTACACTGACCACTAGTAAGTAGAGTAGACAAATCCAGCATACCTGAGAGTCTACACTGACCACTAGTAAGTAGAGTAGACAAATCCAACATACTGGAGGGTCTACACTGACCACTAGTAAGTAGAGTAGACATATCCAGCATACCTGAGAGTCTACACTGACCACTAGTAAGTAGACAAATCCAACATACTGGAGTGTCTACACTGACCACTAGTAAGTAGAGTAGACAAATCCAACATACTGGAGGGTCTACACTAACCACTAGTAAGTAGACATATCCAGCATACTGGAGGGTCTACACTGACCACTAGTAAGTAGAGTAGACATATCCAGCATACTGGAGGGTCTACACTGACCACTAGTAAGTAGAGTAGACAAATCCAGCATACTGGAGGGTCTACACTGACCACTAGTAAGTAGAGTAGACATATCCAGCATACTTGAGAGTCTACACTGACCACTAGTAAGTAGAGTAGACATATCCAGCATACCTGAGAGTCTACACTGACCACTAGTAAGTAGAGTAGACATCCAGCATACTGGAGAGTCTACACTGACCACTAGTAAGTAGAGTAGACAAATCCAGCATACTGGAGGGTCTACACTGACCACTAGTAAGTAGAGTAGACATATCCAGCATACTTGAGAGTCTACACTGACCACTAGTAAGTAGAGTAGACATATCCAGCATACCTGAGAGTCTACACTGACCACTAGTAAGTAGAGTAGACATCCAGCATACTGGAGAGTCTACACTGACCACTAGTAAGTAGAGTAGACAAATCCAGCATACCTGAGAGTCTACACTGACCACTAGTAAGTAGAGTAGACAAATCCAACATACTGGAGGGTCTACACCGACCACTAGTAAGTAGAGTAGACATATCCAGCATACCTGAGAGTCTACACTGACCACTAGTAAGTAGAGTAGACAAATCCAACGTACTGGAGGGTCTACACTGACCACTAGTAAGTAGACATATCCAGCATACTGGAGGGTCTACACTGACCACTAGTAAGTAGACATATCCAGCATACTGGAGGGTCTACACTGACCACTAGTAAGTAGAGTAGACAAATCCAGCATACTTGAGAGTCTACACTGACCACTAGTAAGTAGATTAGACATATCCAGCATACTGGAGGGTCTACACTGACCACTAGTAAGTAGAGTAGACATATCCAGCATACTTGAGGGTTTACACTGACCACTAGTAAGTAGAGTAGACAAATCCAACATACTGGAGGGTCTACACTGACCACTAGTAAGTAGACATATCCAGCACACTGGAGGGTCTACACTGACCACTAGTAAGTAGAGTAGACATATCCAGCATACTGGAGGGTCTACACTGACCACTAGTAAGTAGAGTAGACAAATCCAGCATACTGGAGGGTCTACACTGACCACTAGTAAGTAGAGTAGACAAATCCAGCATACTGGAGGGTCTACACTGACCACTAGTAAGTAGAGTAGAGTAGACAAATCCAGCATACTTGAGAGTCTACACTGACCACTAGTAAGTAGAGTAGAGTAGACAAATCCAGCATACTTGAGAGTCTACACTGACCACTAGTAAGTAGAGTAGACATATCCAGCATACTGGAGGGTCTACACTGACCACTAGTAAGTAGAGTAGACATATCCAGCATACTGGAGAGTCTACACTGACCACTAGTAAGTAGAGTAGACATATCCAGCATACTGGAGAGTCTACACTGACCACTAGTAAGTAGAGTAGACATATCCAGCATACTGGAGGGTCTACACTGACCACTAGTAAGTAGAGTAGACATATCCAGCATACTGGAGGGTCTACACTGACCACTAGTAAGTAGAGTAGACAAATCCAGCATACTTGAGAGTCTACACTGACCACTAGTAAGTAGAGTAGACATATCCAGCATACTGGAGGGTCTACACTGACCACTAGTAAGTAGAGTAGACAAATCCAGCATACTTGAGAGTCTACACTGACCACTAGTAAGTAGAGTAGACATATCCAGCATACTGGAGGGTCTACACTGACCACTAGTAAGTAGAGTAGAGTAGACATATCCAGCATACTGGAGGGTCTACACTGACCACTAGTAAGTAGAGTAGAGTAGACATATCCAGCATACTGGAGGGTCTACACTGACCACTAGTAAGTAGAGTAGAGTAGACATATCCAGCATACTGGAGGGTCTACACTGACCACTAGTAAGTAGAGTAGACAAATCCAGCATACTGGAGGGTCTACACTGACCACTAGTAAGTAGAGTAGACAAATCCAGCATACTGGAGGGTCTACACTGACCACTAGTAAGTAGAGTAGAGTAGACAAATCCAGCATACTTGAGAGTCTACACTGACCACTAGTAAGTAGAGTAGACATATCCAGCATACTGGAGGGTCTACACTGACCACTAGTAAGTAGAGTAGACATATCCAGCATACTGGAGAGTCTACACTGACCACTAGTAAGTAGAGTAGACATATCCAGCATACTGGAGAGTCTACACTGACCACTAGTAAGTAGAGTAGACATATCCAGCATACTGGAGGGTCTACACTGACCACTAGTAAGTAGAGTAGACATATCCAGCATACTGGAGGGTCTACACTGACCACTAGTAAGTAGAGTAGAGTAGACAAATCCAGCATACTTGAGAGTCTACACTGACCACTAGTAAGTAGAGTAGACATATCCAGCATACTGGAGGGTCTACACTGACCACTAGTAAGTAGAGTAGACAAATCCAGCATACTTGAGAGTCTACACTGACCACTAGTAAGTAGAGTAGACATATCCAGCATACTGGAGGGTCTACACTGACAGGAGAACATGGACATGATTTAAAGTGAGCACAAGGATTTCCAGTTTGATCAACAACAGATTGCACGGTTTATTGCCTGTGTTGTATCCCCTGGGAAAGTTAAGTGAATAATAACTTCCAGGGTTTTCCTGAGGGTTGGTTTAAGTGTTGTTTGATCAAAACTAACTGGATGCTTATTCATCTTCATCATCATCATCAGTTGCCACTTCTGTCGTTAAGCGTTGGGAGGGACAGTTTGCGATTCATTGCTTGATGGGCAGCAATGGCTACTGTCATTCCGTGTCGATGTAGAAGCTCTTTAATGCCATCAATCCATCTTCTCCTAGGACGGCCTCTTGCTGTCACTTCAGATACTTTCCTGTGTAGCTCCTGCATTGGTAGTTGTTCTGGTTGCATTCTTACTAAGTGTCCAAACTATTTGATCTTCTCTTTCTCAATGAATTTGCTGCATGTTGTTGTTCTTACAGTCTGTAATATAATTTCTAACTTTGTCTCAGATAGTCAAGTTAGCCACTTTTCTCAGGCATCTAATTTCACAGGTGTTAATTTTATGTACATTAATGTTTGATAATGTCCAAGTCTGGCACTGGTAGCACAGTGTTGATATTAATATGCTGTTTATAATCTGTTTCTTGGCACTCATACTTATGTTTAGATATGTTAATAATTATGTTAGTTGGTATATAAGTGCACTGGCACATTGGCGTCTTGTTTCTATTTTTCGATCTATTCTTCCATCCTCTGGGAATATACTTCCTAGATAATTACATTCGTTAACTTGCTTTGGACAGATACCATTCAACCTGATGTGTAACGGTCTAGGAATTCCACCGATCTGCATTACTTCAGTTTTGGTGGTATTTATTTTCATGTGATATCTTCCGCATGTTGAACTAAGCCTGTTCAAATGTTCTTGAAGTCTACTCCCCTCATTCTAGAATAGTAGGCATTGATAGTCTGCAAATAATAGCTTATTTATTGTGTGTGTCTTCCACATGTAAAGATATATGAATTAATAAAACTAGTTTGGAAGATGGAGAAATTACCCCATGAATAGAAAATTTCTTTATTAATACCCATTTTTAAGAAAGGAGACAAGTTATAAGTGTGACGATTATAGAGGAATATCACTATTATCTACAAGCTATAAAATACTATTGGCGGTAGTGCTAAATAGGCTAAATCCATACGTTGAAGACATATTGGGAGATTACCAAGCGAGTTTCCGACAGAACAGATCAAAAATAAATCAGATATTCATTTTACGACAAATAGCAGAGCAAAATTGGGATTATAGAAGAGATAATGTTACTTGTGGGTTTTAAAAAAGTGTATGATAGTTACATAGAAACATTTAATGGAATGCTATGAAGGACTGTGGAATACAACAGAAGTTAATTACCATGACCAAACAATATATAGAAGACTCTTGTAATATAGTCGTATGTGAAGGCAGAGAGACAAACTGGTTTAAGCAAGGTGATACTCTGTCCCTTCTTCTTCTTTTCAGTTTGGCCCAGGAGAAAATTCTAAGAAAATTGAAGCAAGAATGTACTATATGAGAATCTACAAGTAAATTTGGTTATGCAGATGACATTGATATTGTTGGAGAAAATGAACTAGAGACTGTTAAAACACTATCTTTAAAGAATCAGCTCAGAAAATGGGACTAGTTATCAATCAGGATAAGACAGAATGCATGATTATAACTAGACAGGGAAAGGATATACACTCTGGCCACATACAGGTTGATAATATGAAAATCAAATGAAAGGAAACATATAGGTACTTAGGTGTAAACTTAAACTACTCCAGCATGCTGAGAGAAGAAATACAATCAAGAATATAGTATGGAAATAAAGTATACTGTGTCCTTATGTCCTTCAACATCTACTAAAGTGTATTTACATCATCTAATATGATGCATCACAGTTAACTTATCATGTATCATTGTGGTGTTATATACTTTCAGAGTATATTGGAGGACTGGACTGATATACTGTTGCCATCTGGACCTCCTTCTGACAAAAGGTGATTTAAGTTGCTTTTGCTTTACAGTGAAAGTTAATGGCATATTTGAATGTTTGACTTGGGGTGGGGGGGGGAGAGGGGGCACTGCCTTTCTAGCGAGAAAGTCATAAGGGTTGACTAATGAATGGTTTCCTTCTAAGTTGAAGCATCTGAAAACCAGAATTTTCTACCAGAGTTTAGATCCAGTGAACGTGAAGAAGAGGAAGAATCTTAGTCAAGTCATATCACCCATTATGGGTCTGTGAAAACAGTTAGCTTATGGTACAGTTGTTTGTATGTCCAAGTGACAAGGCAGTCAAGACCACACATTGAGTGGGTCTTGCTGTTGTAGGTTTGACCCTAATCCCTGCTGACAGAGAGCAAGTCATGAGATCAGTGATGACATACACCCCACATCACTGAAGTTTGAATCTGTCTTGCCAGTTTTATGCTTTCAAATACAACTTTGATAACATTGGTTATTTTAATTGCCTGATGCTGCATTAGTTTTATTTTAAGTGTGAATGTAATCTAACGTTGTATATTTGTGGACATGAAACAAGAACAGTGTTGACTGTAGTAGGATGTTGTATACAGTGAAGACAATAAATGCACATTTAACTGCTTTGGAATAGTAATAACACAAACTTGTACTTAGTGCGTCAGACATGTCAAGTCAGGCAAACATTCCCAGTATCATTCAGTAATGTATGGGCAAATAATCTATCCAGATCTATAACAGTATGGGATCTTTTTCAAAAAGTATTCTTTCTGTGATAAGGAAATAATGCAATTACTTGCCTGGAAGTCTGAACCTTAGTCCCTCTCAGAGTTGATCTCCATAAGACTATACAAAGTTTCCCCACCAGTCGTCCAACCACTGCAAGCATTTCAGGTAGGCCTCTGGGAATGGAATACATCTTGGCTGTAGTGTTCTGGGTCATGTCATTTTGGGACTCAAGAAGCCCCTTTCAGCAGTGTTGGCAGCTGGTAAACAGCCAGCAGTGGCATGAAGCCCCTTTCAGCAGTGTTGTCAGCTGGTAAAGAGCCAGCAGTGCCATGAAGCCCCTTTCAGCAGTGTTTTCAGCTGGTAAACAGCCAGCAGTGGCATGAAGCCCCTTTCAGCAGTGTTGTCAGCTGGTAAACAGCCATGGAGCCATGAAGCCCCTTTCAGCAGTGTTTTCAGCTGGTAAACAGCCAGCAGTGGCATGAAGCCCCTTTCAGCAGTGTTGTCAGCTGGTAAACAGCCATGGAGCCATGAAGCCCCTTTCAGTAGTGTTGTCAGCTGGTAAACAGCCAGCAGTGCCATGAAGCCCCTTTCAGCAGTGTTGTCAGCTGGTAAACAGCCATTGAGCCATGAAGCCCCTTTCAGCAGTGTTGTCAGCTGGTAAACAGCCATGGAGCCATGAAGCCCCTTTCAGCAGTGTTGTCAGCTGGTAAACAGCCAGCAGTGCCATGGAACCATATCACAATATGATGCTATGGATGTGGATTCTAATTAACCAGAGGATATTATGTTTAACTTAGAAAATCAGAACCACATGAGAAGAATGGGTAGATGCTTTGTCGTAACTTCCAGTTAGTGCAGTTTTGTAATGTATCGGCCTTGCGATGAGTACTTCTTATTCACCATCCCACAGGAATAAAGAAAAGTAAATATCTGTGACATTATTGCGCACTTGCCTTTTTTCTGGTATAACTATTGTATTCATGTTGACGATTGTACCGTTATGTTTGGGCAGTACTTACGACTAATCACCAGTGATTACTGTGTTCAAGAAGTTGGTTTTTGTTCAGTTTAGCATGCTCTGTTTGACTTTGACTTTCAGGTGCAATTCCTTCAGCTTCATTGTTAACAGCTTTGGTGAAAATTTCACAAGCATTGCATGGCTAATCAAAACAGTGCAGTGTACCAATACTTTTTTCCACCTCATCTAACATGAGGGTTGTAAATGATCAATTGGTCAGTCATACCTCAGCCTAGGCGTCATCGCTTAAAAAATAAACTGGCCTATCACACAGTGGTAATTGCTGGAAAAGAAAAATCCATTAAAATACTTTGACACAGGTCACTAGTAATAATTTTTTTTTTTTTTTTTTGGTTTACTTATAAAGAGAGTAGTCATTAAACATGAACAGAATAAAGCATTAAATGGTATACTGCATAAAAATAGTATTTCTACAGTTGTGGCTTACTGGAAAATTTGATGCCAACTTGGCTTTAGAACATAAGAAAACACCTCTGAATGTGGCTTTTAGCTAATAAATTCACAGGGGTACCTCTGAAACATTTGCACAGGCACAAACTAAGCTAGTAGCATCAGCTGCGAGTCTCATAAACATGATGCTGTAGCAAAGATCACATATGAGGGAATTTGCCTCAACTGGATGGGTTGTGTGCAGCTTTTTGGGATGGCAGGGTTCATGTCAATATGTCAACAGGTACTGATAATCACATAGATTGACTGAAGAAGTTCAGTTTAGATAATAAAGAAACAAAAGTCAAGGAGGATACTTTTGGGGAAGATTTGGGGAAGAGCAATGAAATTGTGAGCGTGAAATGCCTTGCAGAAATACTAACAAGTACATTCAAGCCAAGAACTGTTTGAGTACAGAAAATATACCACATTCACACCCTGAGGTATATTTAGTATATGATAAGTAAAGAAAAGAACCCATATTCAAACCGTGAGGTATATTTGGTATATGACAAGTACAGAAAAGGACCCAATTTAAACCATGAGGTATATTTGGTATGTGATAAGTACAGAAAAGGAGCCATATTCAAACCATGAGGTATATTTGGTATATGATAAGTACAGAAAAGGATACATATTCACACCCTGAAGTATATTTGGTATGTGATAAGTAAAGAAAAGGACCCATATTCACACCCTGAGGTATATTTGGTATATGATAAGAAAAAAGGACCCATATTCACACCCTGAGGTATATTTGGTATGTGATAAGAAAAAAGGACCCATATTCAAACTATGAGGTATATTCCCATATTCAAACTATGAGGTATATTCCCATATTCAAACTATGAGGTATATTCCCATATTCACACACGGAGGTATATTCGGTATATGATAAGTACAAAAAAGGACCCATATTCAAACCATGAGGTATATTTGGTATATGATAAGGAAAAAGCACCCATATTCACACCCTGAGGTATATTTGGTATATGATAAGAAAAAAGGACCCATATTCAAACTATGAGGTATATTCCCATATTCACACCCTGAGGTATATTTGGAATATGATAAGAAAAAAGGACCCATATTCAAACTATGAGGTATAGTCCCATATTCAAACTATGAGGTATATTTGGAATATGGTGCTGGCAGAACAGTTTTACCCTAATCGTCACTTAATATAGGATGGCCTAATCACAGAACTCGACTCAGTTTTCTTTAAACATGTTTTTCAATTTTGATCGATTTGAAAACCTCTAGACTGGCGGGTAGTGTGCTAACGACTCCACACACACAATAAATACCATATAAGTATGATATTTTTACAAAGAAAAGCAAATGTAAGCATAATGGCAAGCTGAAATAAAAAATCAGCAACACCAAACGAGTGTAATAATATTTTAAGCTATCAGCGTAAACAGTATTAATAAATGGACTTAATAATTAGAAATATGCTTGAAGCTGACAGCAGAAATTTTTGATCTAGAATAGAATATTCCGAGTTGTGATGATGTGATTGCCATGGTTACAGGAGTTAACTGCTGTGACATTTATAATTGATGTTGAAGATCTTAATGGCAGAAGTCTGCTAAATATTCTTTATATAGCCAGTGTATGGGTTCAGTGACACATCCCTCCCCCCCCCCCCCCCAAACTTGTTTCTGCAGCACCAAGGAAAGTCTGGAGCTTAGCAAAGGCAGTGTCTGCTTCTCTTTCAACAAAACTACAAACAAAGTGGCAACCACATCATCAGCATTTAACCAGGAGGAACAGGAGACAGCAGAACTGCCTCCACCAGTCAGACCTCTGACAACAATAGATGACAATGATGAAGACAAGACAACTGGCAGTTTCATGTAAGTATTTGTTACTGTGAACATCAACATTGCACACTGTTTTCCCTCTCCTTCCCCCCCCCCCTCTCTATTTCACATAGCAGTTGTATGCAGTTGCAGGAGCTCCAAAGCCATGCTAGTGGAACTAAATTCCGCCATTGCTGGACATTAAAAATGTGGTAAACAGATGCACTATCATTATCATCATCAGTTTGTCCAGATCATGCTTCTCCACGGTCCACAATCTCCTGCAGCATGTATTAGTTCGTGTGCTGACACACCTCCATGTCATGCAACAAGACTGTCAAGAATCTTCTCTCATTATCTTCCTCTATCCCTCCTTCCATTTCTTTCCAGTGGTCAGAACTTGTTCCATTTTCCCTCTTCTCATAACATAGCGGAAAAATTATGACTGTCTCCTTCTGATGATTGTGATAAGTTGTCTTTGGGCTCCCGCCTCTTTTAAAACCTTGTGGTTGCTCTTTTTGACTCTCCAAGGTATTTTAAGCATACTTCTGTAAAACCACATCTCTGAGGCCTAAAGAAATTTTTTTGGCACTGTCTATATACCACACATTAAACACTTAAGTGAATTCAAATTCAAATTCTCTTTCTTTGACCACTTTCAGCTAGGTCCGTTCACATTTCTGCTCACTTTCCTTTCAGCTATATTTGTGGTGACGTTTTCTGGTCGCGATCTTATTTGATTCTGGATTGTGTTCAATATTGTCACTTTCTATTTGTTGTGGTTTCCGCTCTTGCTGTTGTTTTTGTAATCTGGCTGGCCCTGTGCTGCGCTCAAGATGATTGGATGTTGAATCGATTTATTGTGGTATTCCTTGGCTGTTTGTTGTTTCCGGGGAAAGTAAATTGCCTATCCTAATAAGGACCGGCGGTCGATTGACTTGGGCAGGTACTGATGGCTATACTGCTGAGGTCTGGTATTATTTGGTGATTTTCTCGTATCCTTGTTGTAAAGTACTGCTCCTAGATATGGTTTCGGTAATTTTGGCCTTGGTTGTGTCGTATCTGGTATTAGTGTTTGGGGTAATGGTGTCGACCTCGTTTGACTTCAAATTTTGGCTGTCGATATGGTTCCTCTGGTGATGACCAAAGAACGTCATCATCTTGCAGTTCTGAGTTAAAGAAGTTCGGGTCTTCCAGCTCCCTGATGCGTTCGTTTATTTGGTCAACTGTTGCCAACGGAAACTGTTTCATCAGCGATGTCTGAGTTTTCTTATCTGGTGTTTGATGTGGCTTTTTCTGGGTCTCGGCTCCCTGTATTTGCTGCCTTCTTGTTGCCTCTTTCCGTGCTTTCTCTCTTTCTTCCATCACTCTGTTGGTTGCTTGCAGTTCCTTGTTAAGTCTGTTGTTTTCTTCGTATGCTCTTCGTAACTTTTCCTCTGTTTCAGCTAGTGCCTTCTTGATCATTGCGACTTCTTTCGCGAGAAGTTGTTGGTTATCCCGCAGATCATTGATGCCCGCCTCGTCTTCCCTTGCTTTAGTTGGTTGTTCCTTTTGTGTCTGGATAGTGGCCAGTGCATTCATGATGTCCTCCTTGAATTTCGTCATCTCTGTTGTCATCCGTTTCTGGGTGTCAAGAGTCGCCTGCATTATAGCTCTCAGGCCTGTTATTTCATCTCTGTCTTCATCTCGTTGGGTTTTGGATGCGTCTTTCTCGTCTCTGAGAGCTTGGATGTCACTTTTGAGTTGAGCCACCTCGTTGCTCAATTTGGTGGTAATGGCTGCAGTTATGCCTTGGGTTGCTTCGTGTCTTCTGCGGGCCTCATGGTATGGAATCTTATCCCGTATGGCCGTGGTTGCTATTTCTCTACATTGTTGCAGATAGGGGCACCCCAGGTACCTGGTGCTGTGCTGGCCGTAGCAGTTGGCGCACTTTTCTGTTCGTATTGGGTGACTTAAAGTCTGTGTCCAGCTTTGCCAGCGGGCAATTGTTGAAGGCATGGTGTTGTGAACAGTATCGGCATACTTCATGTTCGCTCACACAAGTGGCCCGGGAGTGCCATGCTTTTTGGCAACGAGAGCACTGGATCACCTGTGGCACGTATTGCTCTGGTCTTTGCATTCTTTGATCTAGGTAGATTTTATCCGGGATGTTTTCTCCTTCCGATGTTATCACCGCCACTGGCAATGGATGCCGTTTTGAGCCCAGTCTCTCTGCTTGGTTGATGTTGACATTGGGGTTTTCTTTCCTTATTTGTTGCAGAATTTCTTCGTTGCTCCATTGCAGGTTGACTCTTCGGATCACCCAGCGTCTTACATTCTGGAAGATGGTGGCCGTCACAGTTATCTCCTCGGATAGTCGGAGTTCTTTCTTGCCGTCGTGTTGGATGTCATCCAGCATGTCTGAGGTGCGGTTGGTTCTGTTTAGTGAAGCTATCACTCCTTCTCGAGTTCTCCTAATCTTTGCGACTGCCCTCTTGCCTAACATGATCTCCAGCATATTGATCAATGTTAGCGTTGCCAGTGTAGTGATTGCTGTCCGACCCGAGCTGGTCTGTCGTAGAAATATTGTGGTAGGAAATTCATAGCTGCCTGTCTTTCGTCGATCTGGAGATGTTTGTGGAGTTGGCTGTGTTGGTTCTGGTGACGCTGGAGTGTCACTCAGGGCCTCACTGGTAGTCGGGGCGTCTTCTTGTGATTCGGTAGTAACTGTCTGCGTCTTCCTAGCCTCCGAGTTAGATCGGGTAGATCGGTCAGTGGGCTGTTTCCTCTGTCCGTTGCGCTTTCCGTTAGGTTTGTTTCTCCGAGACATGGTGCTTGCGGAAAAGGCCTCTCGCTCTGGCAAATACTTTGTATTGTGTTATGTAGGTTTCAGTCCTATCTGGTGATAATTGCGGAGAAGTCCTCTCGCTCTGCCTATCCTCAAAGGGACCAGCAGGTACTGTATTGCGCAGGTATCAATATCTGATGACAATTGCGGAGAAGTCCTCTCGCTCTGCTTATCCTCCAAGGGACCAGCATGTACTGTATTGTGCAGGTATCAATACTATCTGATGATTGGCTGATATGGTGACTTAAGTGAACAGATGCACTGGTTAATATACCAGGCATTGAACACTTGGTAAACAGATGTACTGGCTGATATACCAGACACTGAACACTTGGTAAACAGATGCACTGGCTGATATACCAGACACTGAACACTTGGTAAACAGATGCACTGGCTGATATACCAGACACTGAAAACTTGGTAAACAGATGCACTGGCTGATATACCAGACACTGAACACTTGGTAAACAGATGCACTGGCTGATATATCAGACACTGAACACTTGGTAAACAGATGCACTGGCTGATATACCAGACACTGAACACTTGGTAAACAGATGCACTGGTTGATATACCAGACACTGAACACTTGGTAAACAGAAGCACTGGCTGATATACCAGACACTGAACACTTGGTAAATAGATGCACTGGCTGATATACCAGACACTGAACACTTGGTAAATAGATGCACTGGCTGATATACCAGACACTGAACACTTGGTAAATAGATGCACTGGCTGATATACCAGACACTGAACACTTGGTAAACAGAAGCACTGGCTGATATACCAGACACTGAAAACTTGGTAAACAGATGCACTGGCTAATATACCAGACACTGAACACTTGGTAAATAGATGCACTGGCTGATATACCATCACTGCTTTTAATTTCTACATCAGTGCTAAGGAGAAGAGGACATTGAGTGATCAGATTTGTCTTCCTGTGTTTTAAGTAAAGTAGACCAATTACAAATGAACTAAAACACCAGAGACAGAAAGAAAAAGGCAGTTAGTTAAGAAACAGTTTGTCTCATTGTGGGTACTGTTTTCCACATGACATTCACAGTTGATTCTCCTGGTGAGACTGTTAATAGAATTAGGATGGTGTACTTGAGTATCAGAAAATGACATCATCAATTGTTGAACAATTCAAGTACCTGTAACTTTGGGGGAGCACATGCTCAATCAAAAATACTCTTTCTTCAATAGATAACAGGTTATAGCTAAGACCTGTTGCTAAAACACCACTATATAGCAGTGATAGTCTATCCAATCTAAAAGTTACAAAGCATTTGAAACATGAGATAATGCACACATTTTATGATGATACACAGAGATAATTGATTTTTAAAAGTCTACAGTCATGAAACATACACCCTGTCATATTACATATGATGTTTGTGTTTACTGCTCATGGTAGTGGGACACTTGAATGTTATAACCCCTGTCGTATTACATATGATGTTTGTGTTTACTGCTCATGGTAGTGGGACACTTGAATGTTATAACCCCTGTCGTATTACATATGATGTTTGTGCTTACTGCTCATGGTAGTGGTACACTTGTATATTATAACCCCTGTCATATTACTTATGATGTTTGTGCTTACTGCTCATGGTAGTGGGACACTTGTATGTCACAACCCCTGTCGTATTACATATGATGTTTGTGTTTACTGCTCATGGTAATGGGACACTTGTATGGCATAACCCCTGTCGTATTACATATGATGTTTGTGTTTACTGCTCATGGTAGTGGGACACTTGTATGTTATAACCCCTGTCGTATTACATATGATGTTTGTGTGTACTGCTCATGATAGTGGGACACTTGTATGGCATAACCCCTGTCGTATTACATATGATGTTTGTGTGTACTGCTCATGGTAGTGGGACACTTGTATGTTATAACCCCTGTCGTATTACATATGATGTTTGTGTGTACTGCTCATGGTAGTGGGACACTTGTATGTTATAACCCCTGTCGTATTACATATGATGTTTGTGTGTACTGCTCATGGTAGTGGGACACTTGTATGTTATAACCCCTGTCGTATTACATATGATGTTTGTGTGTACTGCTCATGGTAGTGGGACACTTGTATGTCACAACCCCTGTCGTATTACATATGATGTTTGTGTGTACTGCTCATGGTAATGGGACACTTGTATGTTATAACCCCTGTCATATTACATATGATGTTTGCGTGTACTGCTCATGGTAGTGGGACACTTGTATGTTATAACCCCTGTCATATTACATATGATGTTTGTGTGTACTGCTCATGGTAGTGGGACACTTGTATGCCATAACCCCTGTCGTATTACATATGATGTTTGTGTGTACTGCTCATGGTAGTGGGACACTTGTATGTTATAACCCCTGTCATATTACATATGATGTTTGTGTGTACTGCTCATGGTAGTGGGACACTTGTATGGCATAACCCCTGTCGTATTACATATGATGTTTGTGTGTACTGCTCATGGTAGTGGGACACTTGTATGTTATAACCCCTGTCATATTACATATGATGTTTGCGTGTACTGCTCATGGTAGTGGGACACTTGTATGCCATAACCCCTGTCGTATTACATATGATGTTTGTGTGTACTGCTCATGGTAGTGGGACACTTGTATGCCATAACCCCTGTCGTATTACATATGATGTTTGTGTGTACTGCTCATGGTAGTGGGACACTTGTATGCCATAACCCCCACAGTTATTGTGGCAGGGTCTTCCATTTCTGGCAGATCCTGGTGTAGTCTTCTTCTTCTTCGCTTTCACTGGTTGGAAACTCCATTACAAAGTTATGGCTGTTGGTACACTTCTGAACTTGTTTTGTGTGTACATTTCTCTTACAGACAAGTATGTGTTTGTTGACTGTTGGCCTCTCATACAGACATGTATGTGTTTGTTGACTGTTGGCCTCTCATACAGACATGTATGTGTTTGTTGACTGTTGGCCTCTCTTACAGACATGTATGTGTTTGTTGACTGTTGGCCTCTCTTACAGACATGTATGTGTTTGTTGACTGTTGGCCTCTCTTACAGACATGTATGTGTTTGTTGACTGTTGGCCTCTCATACAGACATGTATGTGTTTGTTGACTGTTGGCCTCTCATACAGACATGTATGTGTTTGTTGACTGTTGGCCTCTCATACAGACATGTATGTGTTTGTTGACTGCTGGCCTCTCTTACAGACATGTATGTGTTTGTTGACTGTTGGCCTCTCATACAGACATGAATGTGTTTGTTGACTGTTGGCCTCTCATACAGACATGTATGTGTTTGTTGACTGTTGGCCTTTCTTACAGACAGGTATGTGTTTGTTGACTGTTGGCCTCTCATACAGACATGTATGTGTTTGTTGACTGTTGGCCTCTCATACAGACATGTATGTGTTTGTTGACTGTTGGCCTCTCATACAGACATCTATGTGTTTGTTGACTGTTGGCCTCTCATACAGACATCTATGTGTTTGTTGACTGTTGGCCTCTCATACAGACTTGTATGTGTTTGTTGACTGTCGGCCTCTCATACAGACATGTATGTGTTTGTTGACTGTTGGCCTCTCATACAGACATGTATGTGTTTGTTGACTGTTGGCCTCTCATACAGATATGTATGTGTTTGTTGACTGTTGGCCTCTCTTACAGACATTTATGTGTTTGTTGACTGTTGGCCTCTCATACAAATGCACTCCTACATCGAAGGAAACATCTCTAGTCATCTTGTAGGACATTTTTATAATGGGGCAGTGGTTCTATTTCCCCCCCCCCCCCTTCCCGGGGTCCCTGAACCCACACATGGAAGTAAAGTATAGGTTAGTGACCGCAGTTTCACAACAACAAAAGGCAACTGTCTCATTGTGCACTACTGCAGGTAGTTGAACCCAGCTAAGATGGGCAATAAATGTGGGACCTTGTGAAAGTGCCGTGTCATTTGCTTTAAAGATGGTGTCATCATCTGTGACATAATATGTGTTGTCTTTCAGATCTAGAGACACTGGAGCCTCGTCAGCACCTCTGGCAACAGCACCTTCATCAGCCCCTAACTCACAAGGTTCGGGTAACCCCCGCCTTCTGGAACATTTTGTAAAAGTGACGCTAGTGAAAGACCCCAATGAGCAGATTGATTGGCCTGTGGAGACCATCAAATACACCAAGACAGCCCCAAACATACACTATAGTTGTAACCCTCTTCAGTTTAATTTTAAAGATATTTACAAGCTTCCTAGTGCACAAAGTCCAAAGCTAGTGCAGGATGGGCCTGAGAGTAGCAACACAAAAACTGTGCAGGAAGGCAGTGGTAAAACCAACCTTGGAGATGTGGACAGTTCAAACAAGGTAAAACGGAAACACTCTCGGAAGAAGCACAAAAGGAAGAAGGGTAGTAAAACAAAACATGAAGTTGGGACAAATGAAACCATTCAGAAGGAGGGTGCACAGGATCATCAACACTTAGAAAAAACACACAAGAAAAAGAAGAAAAGGAAGCATAGGCATAAAAGTAAAAAAGGAGATGATGCTAACGAAGGAGGAGAAAAAGAAATAGAAAAGATAGGGGGAGAGAGCAAATCCAAGAAAAAATCCAAGAGGAAAAGAAGCCATAAAGAGAAAGAAGGACAAGGAACTGAAGATTTAATAGACAAGGAAGAAAAAAAGGAGGAAGGTTCCAATACATCTGTTGTACAGAATGGAGAGAAAGTATCCTCACGAAAGCATAAGAAACATAAAAGGAAACATCATCGACCTGGTTCCTCTAGATCAGAAAAGGCTAAAGCCCTGAGTGCGTCAGAGAAAGCAAAAGTGGAAAGCAATCTTGATGGTGCCACTGCCAAGGAACCCAAAGTAAAAATTGACTATAATGATGAAGATGAAAATCATGTTCCATCAGAGAGTGAGTGTGAACCATCGGGTGAGCCTAAGATTAAGCGATTTAGGCGCTCCAAGAAAAGGCGTAGGCGTTCTGCAGCAAATGATGATGCTGCCAATGAATCCAAGCCGGTGGAAATTGTCAAGAATGACCTCAGTGTATGTTTGAAGGCTCACAAAAAGACGTCAGAAGATGATAAGAATGTGTCAGAATACACGACAAACTCTGTTTGTAAATCTGTCAATGTTAAAGATGCAGTCCAGGTAAAGAAAGAAGCGACTGAAGATGGAATTCATGGCAGCAAAACTCTAAATGGTGATCTGTGTGTCAGTCGTAAGCGTGAAGCAAGTACATCCAGCGCCGAAGCCAGTGTGCCATCTAAAATTGGCAAGTTTGACAAGTCAGATGTGCTTGAAGACACTTGGAGTAAAATGGAGGGTATTTATGAGCGCAGGGAGCAGGGGGAGGGCTCCAAAAGTAAATGGGATACTAGTGAGAGTGAATCAGAAGATGTTTTAAAGAAGACACTTACTCCGAATGGCCCTCGCCCACGCACCGATGAAGGCAAGACAAAAGTCGATTCGAAACCTGTCAATGGGAAAATACCATTGACTAAAATAACGCTCGGTCAGAATAACCCTTTGAGTAACCATGTCCCGAAACAACCAGATCAGCATAACAGTGGTTCAGATCGTAAATCCAAAGCTGAAGTACATGTTGGTGATAAGGAGGAGACTGTCTCGTCAAAATCAAAAAATGTATCAAGAAGCCATACCCACACTAGTCGAAGGTCCTATAGTTCTTCAGATTGGTCATCCAGATCTAGATCCAGATCTCGATCTCATTCTCATTCCTACAGAAGCTATTCAGACGATTCTAGATACAGTGATGATTCTTGTTCGCACAGTCGTTCTTCAAGAAGTTACAGTCGCAGCCGTTCGCGACATCGCCACCATCGGCACAGATCCTCGTCCAGGCACCACCGCAGCTACAGCAGCAGGTCCAGCTCAAGCTGGTCCTCTGGCAGATCCTACTCACACTCAAGAAGTTACTCCAGATCTCTTTCCCGTTCTCATTCAAGGCGGGGCAAATCTCCCAGTTCCCACGCAAGGCAGAACATCAAAAGGTTGCTGCAGTCTCCAGTTTTGCCTGCTTCGGTTACTACAATTACAGTAGCTCCAGTGACTGGCAGCACTGGTGGTGGCAAAGGTGCCGGTGCTGGTACAGGTAGTGGACCACCTGATATTCCACTGCCTGGTAAGGAGACTCCAGCCTCTGCTACACCTCAGTCAGAAAAAGACAAGAAAGACAGTTCTGGCCTTACAGACATCCCCCTGCCTAATATGGATGACAAGACCAAAAGTGACAGTACAGAAACTTCTGCTGCAAGTGTTTCTGAAACACAAACAGCACCTTCCGCAGCGTCAGTGACTGTTGTGACCAGTGTGAGCACTTCTGCAGCAAGCGTTTCCAATTCAGAGGCTGGGAATCCAGGTCATCATCATCATCCTGAGCCTCTGATGGCTAATGTGGAGCATGACAATGAATACTGTGGGCAGCTGCACCCAGGAGACCATGTGGGTTATGATCAGCATGGTTACAACCATATGGGCTACCAGTCAGCACACGACCCATCTTTCTGTGAAGATACAGGCTACGAAAGCTTTGAGTTTGATGGAGGGCAATATGATCCTTGCTATGATGAGGGGCAGGAAGAGTATGACTATCATGATCCCTATCACCACCCACCACTTCGACCTATGGGTCCAAACATGCATCATCCAAGAGGACATCCACATCCAGGCTATCGAGGACCTCCACCTCGGATGTTTCCACCGCATGAGCCACGCTATGGTCCTCCTAGACCTGGTATGGGTCCACCTCTCCGAATGGGACACCATGGACCTATGGGTCCGCGGGGACCTAGAATGCCAATGGGACCAGGAGGACACATGGGACCCCCAGGCATGAGGGGACCCCCTAGAGGCCCACGTGGTCCTGGACCCAGAGGGCCACCAGGACCCAGAGGGCCACCAGGACCAAGAGGGCCACCCAGGCCCGCAATGATGGGACCTCCGGGGCCAATGGGACCTGGAGGTCCACGCCCAAGAATGGGACCTCCTTTACGCATGGGACCTCCTGGTCCGGCAGGCCAAGGTTCCCACTCAACTGGTGGAGCTCGGCCCAGAATGGGCCACCCACAACCTGGTCCATCTCCTAGGGATGGTCAGTACCCTCCACCAAGAGGGGGTATGCCACCACCCCAGCGTGGCCCTGGCAACTCTAATTTCCGAGCTCCTATGCCAAACCTCAGTCAGCCACCTCCCAACTTCAATGTGCCGCCTCCAGCAGCATCATCCTCTGCCACCACCACCTCCACTGAAAGTGGTACAAAACCTACTGATGCTATGGAACCTCCTCCACTGCCACCACCCAAACCTCCAACCCCTCAGCCACCTCCACCACCAAAGAAAGAAGAAGAAAAGAAGGAAGAGATTAAGCCTATGGCACCTCTGATTCCACCAGAGCAAGCCGAACAGTATAGAAAACTGCGGGTAAGTCCTGCTTTTTATTTCATTTGTTTCTACAGGTTTTCTGTGTAAAATGTGAACTGGCATGGTTATCATAGGACTTAAGTGTAGTGACATTCTGAGAAGTCTGCAGCATAATTGAGATTCACTTACCAGAGAGTATGTTTTCCTCAAAAGCTAAGAGATGTCTTTAGAAGGCAGGGAAGGAGAAAGCTGTCCATCCTAATTGTGTGGCCTAGTAAATGCATATAAAACCCCTCATATACACTAGGTCATTGTATAATGATAGTGATAATCAGGTTTTTAGCTCGCCATAAGTTTTTTTCAGGCAATTTTCTCTAGTGTCTAATTTGTTCAAATCTGTCTACCCCAGTTAGTTATAAGAACAGACATGCCTGAGATGTAAATGAGTACCACTGTGTTGGTCAGAATGGCAGCTCAGGTGGTGAATTAAAACCTTCTTAGTTAACCAATAATTGCACAGCACACATTTACAGGGATAATAGCGGAAAAGGAAATGAGGATCCATGGAAATGAAATGTCTGCGAAAGGAAAATAGGCATAAGAGAAAACGTCGATAGAGAACCAATTTTGAATTACATAAAATGAGAAATCAAACGGTATGCCCACTTAGAATGAATGTCTTGTGGCACCATACCATACAAGCCATACCCTAAAAGAAAAATATGTAGAGCACAAGAATGACCACGAACAAGGTGGAAAGATAGCATCAGAGAAACTCTACAACAGCACAATATCGAGGCAGTCAGAAGAGCTAGAAGCAGAACCCTTGCATCCCCTTCAACCCCACAACAACAAAAGAGGCAGTGAAGAAAAACAACAGTGCTGTGGAATTAGACAAGAGAATTTGGGGAGATTTTTGAGTCACGTTACATTCATTTAAATTCATCAAGTATACCAGCACTAGCTTCAGTATTGCTTCATTGAAGTTTGTTGTGTGTACATTTTGTCCTCACCTGAATCTCATCTTAGTTGTCATTTTTCTTTTCTCTTCTTCTGTCATTGTCCAAGTCTGCAATGGTAGCATAGAGTTGGTAAGAAAGTTGTTATTTTTTTTTTCTTCTTCTGATACTTGATTGTTTCTCTGTATTGGTGCTTTTGTCCAATAACTTAGTTTGCTTTGTATATCTATTGTTGATATTGTCTTCTGATTTGCCAGTTCATATGTACTTGAATTAAGTGTGTTACTGCAATGTTGATGTATTTATGTGTGGCGGTTTTATTGCTGTTCTTCTGCTCTATAAAGAGCAAGCATTTGAAGCCAGTTTGTGCGGCACTATGCATGACTATACTGTATAGGTTGAACATGATCATGTCATAGCCATGTGATCAGTATTGGCCAGTAAGAACATGTGGTTATCATCCTGTGATGCCATAGTTCTGTTTCTAATCATGTTTTGATCCAACAATCCATCCAAAGAAGCTCACAGAAGCTTGTAATTTAAGTAAGAACAATTTTGCACACCTGCAGAAGTACACTAGTTTCAATACAGTAAGCAACCCTAATGTTCTGTTTTTGCAGAGGGTATTCTTCAGCTATCTGTGCAATGGGGTGCTTGCCTTAATGCCTACAGCAACTTTTTATGGTGCACATTCATTCAGAATGAAGGCTTTGTTAATTGTACTACACATATGGTTTCTTTCCTGCTTTAAAAAAAAACCTTGTTGAATTAAGAATTGACATCACAACACTCGGGACAGCCCCATAAGCGCTCCATCCCCATCTTAAACAGCAAGCAAAGAGTTAAAATGCCAATGGTACCAGTAACTGTCTGACTATATCCGTCTCACCTTTCCTCTGAGTGTCAAACGTCTGCCAGATCCCCTTGTAACTCCTCGCATTGCCATTCTCCTCAGATCATAATGATCTATCTGTTCCACAGGCACTTTTCACTTGCTCCCAAAGGACCCTTACAACATCCAGCTTGTCATACATCAGTTCACCACCAAGGGGTGCAGAACCGGCCAATCGATTTGCCTGCTCATTTCCCAACACACCTTTGAAACCAGTATCAAATGATGAACACTCTTTCTTATGTATGTGTTTAATGTTATTGATCCAGTCCGCTGTTCTGAAATAAAGCACCTCACTGTCTGCAGGCATAGAAATTGTTATATTGTCAAGTCTACATCCATTTTCTAAAGATTACTTTTGTATTTATGTCACAGGAGCAAGCACAGAAGCATGCAAAGAAACAGTTAAGAAAACAGGAACATCAAGCAAAAGGGGAACCTGAAAGTAGTGATGAAGATGATGAAGAACTAGCTAAAAAGAAAGCAGACGAGGCCAAGTTGGCTGCAGAGCAGAAAGAAATGGAAGAAGCAGCATTACTGGCAGCTCAGGGAACTGAAGAAGTAACTGTTGATGATGGAACAACAATCCTGATACCTGCCACCCACTCTCCTTTAGTGCAGCAGCCGACAGTGGTGATTCAGCAACATCCAGTGGCTGCATCCCCGTCACCTTATGGTCTAGTGTCAGCATCTCATTTAGTTCAGGCAGCACATCCAGCCCTCCATGGCAGTCACCTACAGCACCAGCATGTTGTTGCTGCTGCAGCCCAGCCACAACTTGTACAGCTACCAAATGGACAGTTAGCATATGCCACACCTTCGACACTGCCCTACCAAGCTGGAGCTCCAATGATAGCAATGCCTCACCAGGCCATGGCTGCCACATCAATGCCGCACCATTTGGTATTTTCATCAGGAGGGCTACATCAGGTCCCAATGGCAGCCCACCCTGGCTTTGCTATATCCGGGGCTCAGTATGTCACTCACATGATGGCAGCCCAGGCACAAGCCCAAGCTCAGGCACAAGCTCAAGCTCAGGCACAAGCTCAGGCCCAGGCACAGGTACAAGCAGCACAGATCCAGGCAGCCCATGCGCAGGCTGCCCAAGTACAGGCAGCCCAAGCCCAAGCAGCCCAGCTGCATGGACTCATACCAGGTGTTCATTTAGCACAGCAGTTTATGCCTGCTGTCCATCCTCAAGGTCAAATCATATTTTTGCCTAGATTCGCAAGGCCTCATATATAAATATGAGAAAAGGCTGTCTTTTGCAGGTATAACAGAGTTAACAATACTTATCAGAGTGAGGCTGTGGTGTAGGTCTTTCTCCAGGCTATTGGTTTATAATATAGCCTTTGCCTACAGTGTGTGCACACACTGTCATTCAGTACTTGGAACAGTTTCAGCCTCCACCACTGACAGACATTACCCTCACCTAAAATGCCTAATTGAAATAACCAGCAAATTTATCATCAAATTCACTATACTTTGAAATAACAGGGGAAGCAACCTACTGTTACAGTCTTCAGTTGTAACTCCGTCTGGGAACTTCCGTACCCCAACATCATCAGAATTGCATTATATGGAGTCGAATCCTAATGGATGTAGAGCTTGTGTCCAGATAACAAAAACGTAATAGGGAAAATAGTTTTTGTTAACGAAAGTTGATACAAATTGTGTTGAGCCATTGCTGAATACAGCTGTCAGCCTCCACGTAAGCATTGTATTACAGATCCCATTTGACATCAGATTGTCAAAAATCAATAAGTTATAGGCACCAGCGCCAAGACTGTGTAGTCGACTTTTGAGCATGGGGCTTCCTCCCTGCTAAATGATAATGTACCACTGATTCATGAAAATGTGGGAGTTGAATAATATGTGCATATACTTGTATCAATGGTGTATACTTTTGCAAGTATAACAGAGTTATTAACAATACTTACCAGAATGAGGCTGTGGTGTAGGTCTTTCATAAAGATAAGTTTTTCAGGGATTATTTGGTTATTTTATGGTCCCATTTGTTGATGTTCACTCGCTCATCCAGATGTATAGCTTGTTAACAGCCTGCTATTTAAGGACCCTTTCCACGCCAGGGGTGTATCTAGCACATGATGCTAGACCATTTGACACTCGATAAAGGGGGGGGGGGGGGGGGGGGGTTTCCATCATGCCGGCCGCCTTTACTTCCTAAGACTTAAACATGGTGCCAATGTTAGATTGTGTTGACCTGGGAGGCAAGGTCATGTTGGGGGAGGGGAGGGGGGGAATCCAACGATGTGGATTTGGGCTCAAGACATTTGGTCTAGCCACTGTGTCACCTGGGCTCTAGAGGGTCTAGCCACTGTGTCACCTGGGCTCTAGAGGGTCTAGCCACTGTGTCACCTGGGCTCTAGAGGGTCTAGCCACTGTGTCGCCTGGGCTCTAGAGGGTCTAGCCACTGTGTCACATGGGCTCTAGAGGGTCTAGCCACTGTGTCACCTGGACTCTAGAGGGTCTAGCCACTGTGTCACCTGGGCTCTAGAGGGTCTAGCCACTGTGCCGCCTGGGCTCTAGAGGGTCTAGCCACTGTGTCACTTGGGCTCTAGAGGGTCTAGCCACTGTGCCGCCTGGGCTCAAGACCTTTGGTCTAGCCACTGTGCCACCTGGGCTCAAGAGGGTCTAGCCACTGTGTCACCTGGGCTCAAGACATTTGGTCTAGCCACTGTGTCACCTGGGCTCAAGACATTTGGACTAGCCACTGTGTCACCTGGGCTCAAGAGGGTCTAGCCACTGTGCCACCTGGGCTCAGGACATTTGGTCTAGCCACTGTGCTGCCTGGGCTCAAGACCTTTGGTCTAGCCACTGTGCCGCCTGGGCTCAAGACATTTGGTCTAGCCACTGTGCCACCTGGGCTCAAGACATTTGGTCTAGCCACTGTGCCGCCACGGCTGCCATAGCCAGTTCTGCTAATGGTTATTTAAAAACTATTATGTGTGTGTGTGTATATAATTGAATCTGAAAACAGTTGTGTTTTATCCCTAATAATAAACAGTTTTTCTAGGTTGAGTTTTGATTGCTGGGAAAACACCAGGAAAGAGATTTGGATACCCATTGGCAATGTGGCAGCAACTTTTCAAAGATTTTGAACAAAAACTCCAATCATTGGAAGGGGGGACAAGCCTGGTCTGAAACTCTGATGATTGTCATCCTCTGCTTGTCAGCATGGCACAGGATGATGATTACATGAAAAGCAAGCATAGAAGCTGTAGCAGTTGTGGTACCATGAGGGACAAGCAGACTCATCATGTATGGTTGTAGCAGTTGTGGTAGCATGAAGGACAAGCAGACTCATCATGTATGGTTGTAGCAGTTGTGAGTTCAAGATATAACCCACACACAAAAGATTCTGATGTGTATTTGGGAGATTTGGTTTAAAATTATGTATAGTTGCTACTGTCAGCGGCTCCTTGAATCATTGGTGGCTAGATACAAGGATACCAAAGGTTTTCAATAGGCAATAGATGTATAGCCAAGGAAGTGATACATGCCAGTGGTGAGTGATTTGTCTAGCGTGCATGTGAGTATCAGCTGCAGCAAGTCACTAATGGACATTGTACATATTGGTGTTTTCATCTGTTCTATTTATTTATTAATGGTAGCTGTACATTTGTGGATGTTTACAAAAGTGCTCTAGGGTTGACCTGTATTCTTGTTTACTGGCAACAGAAAACAGGGCACAACTGTGACCGTACTACCTGTACCCCATCTGTTTGTGGCCAACAGCGCCCAGTGTAACTCCATCTGTGTTGTTCTTGGATAGCTATGGTGATTCCACTTCGTGATATGGTGTTATTGTGTAATTATGTTTGTTCATATTGCTTGTTGTTGAAGTATTGATTCAGGGTCTGTCTCAAGTGAATCCTCAGCTAGGGTTGTGAAACCCTAGATTTACCTGGCAACCATGTGTTCACATTGAAAAAAAATGTACATTACAGTGACAGATATAAATAAGAAATGTAAAAAAGACAACAGCACAGGAAACAAGCAGCAATATTTCTGGCAGGGTTTCAGTAGAGACATGAACACAGCAAACAAGCAGCAATATTTCTGGCAGGGTTTCAGTAGAGTCATGAACACAGAAGGGAACTGACTGACTTTGTTAGTGCTGGCTGTGATCACACGTGTGCTGGCTGTGATCACACGAGTGCTGGCTGTGATCACACGAGTGTTGGCTGTGATCACACGAGTGCTGGCTGTGATCACACGTGTCATGTCAGTCCCTAAAACTTTGCTGTCAACTGTTTATGGCCTGGCAGTTTTCAATTCAGTATAGTAACTGCCTATAGGAGACTTACCAGGACAGCATGGGTTAATGTGATAGCTGGTTGAGACACGGGTTATGGATGGTTGTGTTTATGTGATAACTGGTTGAGACACAGGTTATGGATGGTTGTGTTTATGTGACAGCTGGTTGAGACACAGGTTATGGATGGTTGTGTTTATGTGATAGCTGGTTGAGACACAGGTTATGGATGGTTGTGTTTATGTGACAGCTGGTTGAGACACAGGTTATGGATGGTTGTGTTTATGTGACAGCTGGTTGAGACACAGGTTATGGATGGTTGTGTTTATGTGACAGCTGGTTGAGACACAGGTTATGGATGGTTGTGTTTATGTGACAGCTGGTTGAGACACAGGTTATGGATGGTTGTGTTTATGTGATAGCTGGTTGAAACACAGGTTATGGATGGTTGTGTTTATGTGACAGCTGGTTGAGACACAGGTTATGGATGGTTGTGTTTATGTGACAGCTGGTTGAAACACAGGTTATGTATGGTTTGTGTTTATGTGATAGCTGGTAGAAACACAAGGTATGGATGCTTTGTGTTTATGTGACAGCTGGCAGAGACACAAGTTATTGATGGTTTGTGTTTATGTGACAGCTGGTTGAGACACAAGGTATGGATGGTTTGTGTTTATGTGACAGCTGGCAGAGACACAAGGTATGGATGGTTGTGTTTATGTGACAACTGGCAGAGACACAAGTTATTGATGGTTTGTGTTTATGTGATAGCTGGCAGAGACACAAGGTTATGCTTTGTGTTTATGTGACAGCTGGCAGAGACACAAGGTTATGGATGGTTGTGTTTATGTGACGACTGGCAGAGACACAAGGTTATGGATGGTTTGTGTTTATGTGACAGCTGACAGAGACACAGGTTATGGATGGTTTGTGTTTATGTGACAGCTGGTTGAGACACAAGGTATGGATGGTTTGTGTTTATGTGACAGCTGGCAGAGACGCAAGGTTATGGTTTTTGTTTATGTGACAGCTGGTTGAAACACAAGGTATGGATGGTTGTGTTTATGTGACAACTGGCAGAGACACAAGGTTATGGTTTGTGTTTATGTGACAACTGGCAGAGACACATGGTTATGGTTTTTGTTTATGTGACAGCTTGTTGAGACACAGGTTATAGATGGTTTGTGTTTATGTGACAGCTGGTTGAGACACAAGGTGCAGATGTTTTTGTGTTTATGTGACAGCTGACACAAGTCAAAGACTAACAGAAAACAGACATTACTGTGTGTACACCAAGTAGAATACTGCAGCGTTTCCTTGGTATTGATTGTTGTAGCCAGGTATCTGGGGTCAATATTACAAGGAACACCATTAACATTTGCTTTATTGTGTGCATATTTGTGGTCAGATAGTCAGATTTGTCATGTGATTTCCTCGTGTTCACTTGTGCATACAGATCATAAACCAGCTTTCTACAGTGGTGTTCCTCTATTATTTTTTTAGTGGAAGAATGTAGTCGTGCATGTATGTCTTCGCGAGGAAATGTTAACACTTAGAAGAATGTGCTTAGATGGGTTTGCAACGGTTACATTCCTGAAATGACTGTCGGGGGGGGGGGGGGGGGGGGGGGGCTGCACCGTTGTAATAATCTGAACAGGATTAGTGATATGCAATCACATTGTGGTCATGTAAACTGAGGTTGTATCCATCCCTTCAAGCTTAGTGGTATACTAATACTAGGGTCATGTTAATTGAGGCACAGTTGTATCTATCCAGACAGGCTTCGTGACATGTAAACATGCACGCACATAGTAACAAAAAGCAGTGGCACGAATATCCCTCCACCCCAATCCCCGCACACTCACCCAGTTGCAAGAATCAGCTGCACCAATATCCACATACACTCACACATAATCACAAAAAATCAGTTGCATCAATATCCACATACACACACACACATAATCAC